TTGACAACAATTGCTTGGATTTGTGGCCGCGATGATTACCTCGATTAGTTCCCCTCATGATCCCCCCTCATTAATTCCTTCACGGGCGGATAGAATGTCCCCGACGCACCCAAAACGGTTTAAGAAGGCCCCGATTCGCTGCAATATCGTTCCAAAACGCCCAAGACGGCCTCCAGGCGGCCCAAGATGTCGTCAAAACATCCCCAAACCCACCCTCTCACTCTCAGCTACATCACAATCGCCCTGGACGCCCCCGAAAACCACAAGAAACAACTTAAACTCAAAAAGGTCGGCAGATCTAGCGTAAACATATATAATCGAATCTTGTTTCCTGAAGCTGCGAGAAAGAACTAACAACAACATCTACTAAAACTTTGCACGGGGAAAATCGAAACGGCTCCTCGGCCAATCGCAAACAATAACGACGAGACGGGTAAACCGCTAACGACGACGGTGGCGGTGACGACTAATACAACGACGACGACAACGACGAATACGAAAATGATGACGGTGACGACTGACGACGACGACGGTGACGCTGCCGCCGACGACGTCGATGCCGACGACGCCGACGATATCGACGCCGGTGACGACACCGACGACGGAATACGAACCGATGGTCTTCAGCTGCTACGGCCGCTAGGGTAGAGAGGAGAAGGGCAAATATACGAGATTAGAGCAGGTAGATGGTATAATAAAGTTGGGCACTTTTCTAATATGTCCTGCCCTGCTCCAGTAACTCTACTCCACCCTACTCCTCGAATCCTAGCGCAGAGTAGCCCACCCCAGTCCAGCCCAGTCTACTCCTCAATCCACTTCATGTCACCCTTCGGATCTATTCGGAATCTGCGCTGGCTCAGTGCGCGTCTTGTAATGCTGATGGTGCCTGTTTAGCCGTCTGTTGTCCGTCGTCGTCGTGGTTGTCGCCCTTGCAGTTCAGAAGGTCCCCCCCTCGGGTTCAAACCCTGTCCTTGAACAAGGGGGCCGGGGGGGGGCCAGTTCGAACCCCCTTACCCCATGCAATTCAAGGTGGAGGGGCGAAACCCCGTCCCCCTGGAGGAGGCGTGGGGCGGACCCGGTTAGGGAGACCGCCGTCCCTTCTATTTCTCAGGGTACGCAAAATGTTTTGCCGACCCCCCCTGGTTCCCACGTGTCCAGAATATCTTGCCAAACCAAGCGTCCATGAAATACGTTGTCTCCTATATCTATAGCGAGAACTGAAAAATATACAACCAGAGAAATAGGGACAGAGAGACGCACTGGACGGGGTCAAAACTGATCGAACACTTGACTGATTGGATGGCGTTTTCAGACGAGGTGACGCCTGCTAGTGGAACGGTCGAAACTTAGATACGGAACGGGCGACGCCTGTTTCTGGAACGGGCGGAACCTGTTTCCAGAAATGAAACAGGTTCCGCCCGTTGAGTTGTGGAGAGATCTCAATCTTCGGAAGTGCGTCTCTGCCCACTCTCTGGAAGAACTTGCTTCTTGGTCATTACATTGTGTGCAGTGTGGTACTCCCTGCAAATCGGATAATTCTCGCAGGATTCACACATCGTCTTGTACTCAGAGAGCCACGCAGGTCAATTTGCCTCCACGCTGCTGCATTTCCCTGTTCACAGAGGCTCAAACGGCAGCTCGGGTGTCGCACATTCGACAGTTGCTTGCGGCCCAGGGCAATGAACGGCATCCTGCAGCAGGTGCGTCCCCAGGTGGCGGCGGCGCCGGCGGCGGCACCAGGCAGAGGCGCGCACGCGCAGCGGCAGCAGCTCAGCGTGGTGAGCGCGCTGTGCCTGCTGGCGATCTGGCACGACCGTCAGCTGCAGGAGCTGGAGGACATGCAATCGCTGGCGGTGCTGGTGTACAGCCACGAGATGAAGCAGGACCGCAAGGTGTGGAAGGAGGTCGTTCCAGAGGGCGGCGGCGGACACCCGTCGGGAGTGAGCCTGCGCAGCCTGGCCTTCGCCCAGGTGGTCACGCAGCTGCGGCTTCGGGCGTGCAAGGCGGCGGGCCGCGAATCGGCCATCCCGGCGGAGGCCCCAGAGCCGGCGGCGCGCGGCACGTCGCAGGCGGATGCGCCCGCCGACGCGGCCGAGCAGCAATTCCAGTTGGGGCTGCGGGCGCTGAAGGCTCTCGCGGGGATGGTGGCCCAGGACATCGACCGCAACGTGCGCCGCTTCGCCCCGAAACACCAGGAACCGCTGATGGAGGAGGAGCGCCCGTGGGTGTAGACGCTGCGTGTGGCGCCGGCAGCCACGCAGGCGTTCTACGACGCGATGCTCGTCATCTCTACAGGGGCGTCAAGGTGGTGCCGCAGCGGTCGGTCGACGGCCCCCTGCTGCGCCGCCTCCAGGACGCGCTGCGGGAGGCGGGCGTTCAGGCGGGCGCGGCCAAGGGCGGCGGCAAAGGGAAGAACAAGGGCGGCAACCGCGGCTGGCGTCGTGGAGAGGGTGATGGCGATGCAGGCCGCCAAGGGCGGCAGCGAGTGTCATGATGAGAACGGCCGCTGGCCCGGGTGGTGCAGATGGAGCTCCGCGCGTGGCTGGCGCGCCCCCTCCCTCTGACTGCCCTTCGGGGCCAAGGGGTGCGCCCGGGGGCTTCGGCCCCGCCGGGGGCTCCGGCCCCGCTGCGGGTCCAAGCTCGGGTGCGCTTCCTGTGCGTCGTAATTCACGAATTTCTCCGCGCAGGCCAGCCACATCTTCGTGCTCATGGTCGTCGGGACGTCCGGCTTCTACATGAAAGTACCTCTTTTATAATATCATCTTCGGCTCATGGTTGTCGGGACGGCCGGCTTCATCATTGAGTGCCCTTTTATATTATCATTTTCGTGCTCATGGTTGTCGGGAGGCCGGCTTCTGCATCGAGTGCCCTTTTATAGTATCATCATCATCGTGCCCATGGATGTCGCGAGGGGCGGCTTCATCATGGAGTACCACTTCGGCGCCGACGTGGCGCACCTCCTCTTCGACTACCGCACCCTCGCCTATTTCTTCGTTGCCTTCTTCCTCTACTGGCTCCTCTTCTCCTCCTTCGTGATTCTCGTGAGTGCCCTCCAGGACCGGGCGGCCCTCGACAGCTACGCAAGGAACTACATGTGGATCTCCCCGAGCACGGCCGTGAAGCCCGCCAGCTGTTTCCAGAAAGGGCGAACTGTCACCAGAACGAGCAGAACTATCTCTGGACCGCGCGTGAGCTGCTCCAAAAATGCACAATTTATTTCTGGAGCGCCGAAATACATTGCCGTTTCTGGAACGCTGGAATTTCCGGGAAAGCACCTACTGGCTCGAAGACAGCTCATATTTTTTCGTTACCAATTCCTCACGGATGTGCCCGTCAGATCCGTGGTCATCCGACCACCGGTTTACCGAATTCGATTATACTGCGAAGCGACGCGCGACATGGGGATATCGCGGTTTGATAGTTTTAAGATCTTCGCCGCTGCCGCCGACCCTGAACAGGATTGCAGGAGATGAGGAAGCATCAGACACAAGGGCGTGGAATTTTGCCACCCAAAACCAACAGAAGAAGTGTGAGGAAGAGGGAAGTGAGATATCATGAAAAGAGTTTGGTCCAGCCCACCTTGGGAAGTGGTGGATTCACGTACGCACGCGCAGCAAAACATGTTCGTGGAAGAACGTGGCCCTCAGCCATCCAGACAAGGTCGACACTGCGCGTTTTGAAGGGCTTTGCACAAACATCCCCAATACTTGCGTTTCTTCAGGCTGCGTTGTCTTGCCCGCGCGCCGTGTTATAGGCTGGCGCATGGCTTCTGTCTTGTCTTGCTCTCGCGCTGGTGATGTCAACAACAGACACTTGCACGACTGAAACAACCGCACAACCTCATCGTGATGCACGTATCCGATCACATTGGAGAATCTGCTCTAAGAGCATGCGGGTTTAAGTAGCGATCCTCGATCATGTACTGTTGCATGGTTTCGTCGCGCAGACACGCCGTCCAGAAATTGAGCAGTTCCGCCACCTGGCCCTCGAGGTATAGAAGAACAATTGTCTGCACCCCCAAACACACACACTCACACACACAAACACACACAAACACACACAACACACACACAACACACAACACACACAACACACACAACACACACAACACACACAACACACAACACACACAAACACACAACCACACACACAACACACACACAACACACACACAACACACACAACACACACAACACAAACAACACACACAACACACACACAACACACACACAACACACACAACAGACACAACACACACACAACACACACAACACACACAACACACACACACACGCACTCCATTACGACGAAATGGCGGACTTTTGCACTACTGGACGTAGTCGGAATTGGCACATGACGCTCCGTCAATTCAATCTCGGTATTATGATGAATCTTGTAGCAAGGGGCGCCAGTGGCTCTGGTAACCGGCATCCATGAGTGCATCGGCTCTGGTAACAGACATCCTCCACCTGAGATTGGGCCCTCGACCTCCTTTCTGGTGGGCTCACGTCGCGATGCAGTCAGCGCCGTTGGTTTCCTACGCCGCGTGGATCTATCAGTCTTGAACGATGGCGGCTTCCCGACAGCGCAGACCTTTCGATGACGGCCGACTCCAGGCCACCCGAGGGAGCTCGGCCTCGAGCGCCCCTGCTGGGGTCGCCACCGAGTCAGCTCGGCGAGAGCCTGCCGCGTCGAGGCTGGATACAGCCGTGGCCATGTTAAAAGGGGAACCGCCAGAGACAAGAACGGCTGATATCGATTCGGGGATTCGGACTGGATTGGGATGTGCGTCGGATCGGGTCGTATCGGCCCGGAATTGGAAGCAGATCGGATCGACCGCGCCAAGATGCAACCACAACGCAGTGCGAACATCTGGCTGCATCGGAGTGTCGGGATCCAGGAATGTCAGGAGCTGTCTTGAAAAGTCTCTGTCTGCATTTTTCTAAGGACCACCCCTCCGCCTCTCGAAGCACCCGCCCGCGTACACCCCCCTCCTTTCGAGGCCGCAACCCTACGCAAAATACGACAGATTCGCGCTCCCGATGCCCAGATGCCTCCTAGACGATATCGCTCCAAGACGGGCTACTTGGCCTCAAGACGGCCCACGAGGACGAGGACTTCAAGGCTTCCCGACAAAGCCCCACGAGCCTTCCCAAGAGGACCTCGAGAGGCACACACACATTATTTATATTCTTACGGCTTTCCATTCTGTTTTTCGGGTTCTAGGTTTTTCGAGCTTCCGACGTCCAAAGTCGACCCAAGAGGCCACAAGGACTGAAAGGCGGTCGTAGAGGCCCCCCAGAGGGCCACAGGACGGCCCAAGAGGGCTCCAAGACAACCCAAAAGGCGCCTAGCCTTCCGCCCCAAGAGGGCCAAAAAAGGCCCTAAATAGGGCCCCGAGAGGCAACAACCATGGATTCCCCATAGCTGCATCCATGTTTTCCGGGTTCTCGCCTTTTCGAGCTTCTGACGATCCAAGCTTCTGACGATGCAAGAGGCCCCAAGACTCCCCCGAGACGGCTCAAGAGGCCCCAAAGGAAGCTCCACGGCGGCCAAGCGGGCTCCAAGACGGCCAAAGAGGCGCCCAAGACTGCCCAAGAAGGCCCTAGGACCGCCCCAAAAAGGGCCCAAGAGTGCGCACACGAACCAAGCATGCGGGCCTTCTGCCCCAAGAGGTTCCCAGTTGGCCCCCTTGGCTTCTCGAACAACTGCCACCGAGAAGCTGCGCGGGCACGGTGCCGGAAGCAGCTGAATACCGAAACCGAATCGGATCGGGCCGGCCAGAACTTTGGAGCCCCGAAACGGTGCGGAATGACAGACCGTGCGGTGACCTCGAAATCCCCCGAGACCTCACCGCCCGGTCCGTCACCGCACGGCCTTGGGACCCTGGAGGCCCCTGTCGCCCGAGAGAGCCTCGGAGAGGGACTCGAGTCCCGAAACCGTGCGGAGACCCCGAATCCCCACCGACTCACCACACGGCGTGGTCACCGCACCGTGTGGGGGCCCCCGAGACGTCGAGCCGCATCGGCAGGACCGGACCGGACCCCGAGGGGAGTGCCTGCCGACGAGCGCCACCCCGGGACGCGGGCTGCGCGCGCGCTCGGCGAAGGCAGCTGCGCGGGACGGGCCCACGCCGGGGCCGGCGCGCGTCCCGAGGGCCACCGACGCCGGGGCAGCGCCGTCGGCCGCGGGCGGCGGTCACCCCGCGGCGGGGCCCCTGGCGCGCTCGGCCTCCGCGTCCGCGCGCAGGAGCCCGTGCGCGCTGCGGAGCAGCTCCCGGAACTCCCCCGCGTCCATCCCGAGCGAGTCCAGGAAGGCGCGCGCCTGCGCCTCCCGGGCCGGGCGCCGGAGGAGGAGGAGGAGGAGGAGGAGGAGGAGGAGGAGGAGGAGGAGGAGGAGGAGGAGGAGGAGGAGGAGAGGGGGGTGAGCAGAGCTCGTGGGCGTTTGAGAGGGGGGCGTCCAGGAGGGGGCGTCGCAGATCATGGCCCGAGGCACGTGTGCGGACGAGGGGGGGGGGGGCCAGGGGAGGTACTGGAAGAAGAATAATAATGATCATGATAATTGGAATAACCATAAGCATCATAATAATCAGCATAATAATAAGAAGAGTTCGAACAAGTAGAATAATATGATTCACCGTAATAGTAAGAAGAAGGGGCCATGAGATCCGCCGCCACAAGCGGCGCCCACGCGACGAGGGAAGGTCCAAGCGGCGGGGGGCCGACACCAACTGCTTGCTTGTTTCGAGGAAGAAGGAACGACAGAAACCTAAACTTTCGGGGGTCCGCGCAAACTTCTTGAGTCGGCGCTGGGACCCCGCTGCCAGCGGCTCTGAATCCGCGCGGAAGTCCGTGTAATTACGTTTATGTCGTTTATCTTCTCCGAGCCTCGAAAATGGGGTCCAGCTGGTCGAGCAGCCTGAACCGCAAGAAGAAGACGTCCCACCGCTCCTCGACCGCCTCCAGGGCGTCCAGGAAGGCGGCCTGCCCGAGCGGGTCGAAGTCGCCGAACCGCTCCCCGAACGAGATGAGGCCCCGGTGGTCGTCGCACAATCTGCGGTACTCCTCCGCGACTACCTCGACTGGCCGAGACGGCGGGGTCCCGTGGGGCAGCTGGGATGACCAGGGGCAGGCTGGTCCTGACGCGTTCCCAGGGGCACGCACTCCAGTTTTTGCTGCTGCATCGTTTCTAACTGGCCCTGCTTCTCCTGCCCCTGGGCCCAGGGTCGGTGTACGACGCGAGTGGGGCCAAGACTGATCAGGGTTGAGCGGCCGAGGGCCCTCATGAAGGCCCTGAGAGGCCAACATAGCTGATTTTCTCCAGTCTTTTGACGGAGGAGGAGGAGGAAGAGGAGGAGGAGGAGGAGGAGGAGGAGGAGGAGGAGGAGGAGGAGGAGGAGGAGGAGGAGGACAAGGAGGAGGAGGAGGAGGGAGGAGGAGGAGAAGGAGGAGGAGAGGAGGGAGAAGGAGTAGGGAAGAGGAGGAAGAGGAGGAGGAGGGAGAGGAGGAAGGAAGGAGGAGGAGGAGGGAGAGGAGGAGGGAAGGAGGAGGAGGAGAGGAGGAGGAGGAGGAGGAGAGAAGAGGATGAGAAGGAGGAGAAGAGGAGGAGGAGGAGGGAGAAGGAGGAGGGAAGAGGAGGAAGAGGATGATGATGATGATGATGACGATGACCCATGATGATGATTGATGATTTGATATGATGATGATATGATGAGATGATGAGGAGGAGGAGGTGATTGATGATGATGTGATGATGGTGAAGAGGAGAGGAGAAGGAGGAGGAGGAGGAGGGAGAAGGAGGAGGGAAGGGAGGAGCAGAGGAGGAGGAGGAGGAGGAGAGGAGGAGGAGGGGAGGAGGGATAAAGGAGGAGGAGGAGGGAGGAAGGAGGAGGGAGGAGGAGGGAGGAGGAGGAGGAGGAGGAGGAGGAGGAGGAGGAGGAGAGGAGGAGGAGGAGGAGGAGGAGGCGGAGGAGGAGGAGGGAGAAGGAGGAGGGAAGGAGGAGGGAAGGAGGAGGAGGAGGAGGAGGAGGAGGAGGAGGAGGAGGAGGAGGAGGAGGAAGAGGAGGAGCTTGCCCCCCAGCAAAGACCCTATTTCTCACGCGGGAGCATCGCCCCGCAGGTATTGTGCCGAGTGGTGGTCTGCCACTGACCCTTTGCTCTGTGCGAAAGACAACCTCATGGCGCGAAAACTCAGGGAAGCTTTCAGTCTGGCCAAGGATCGATTTGACGCCCACCCCCCCCAGGACGTTGGCATCAAGTCACCCATAGCCCCTTGTCTGACATGTCTTACTGGTAAGAGCAAGCTGGTTGGGAGTTTGTGGACCCCGCCAGTGTTCGCACGCCTAGTGGTGTCGTTTGTAACGTTACGCTCGCCCCGCCAGCCCAGACTTTAGGACCTGCAGAAGCAAGCTCTCCACAAGACCGTCTGCACCAAATTGCAGGACGTGGGCTCCGACCGTGCTGCTCAGATTCGAGAGCGCGGGCTCTGGACCCATCATGTTTCGAGAGCCTGGAGCTCATCAAAGCATGCGCCTGCCGCAAAGCAGATCCTTCGTCACATCTTCACTGGATGTTACTGCACAAGGACCCTCCTTCATCAACGGGGATACCAAGTTTCCCCGAAGTGCCAGCATTGCGGAGCCCCCGATACCCCGTTCCATCGTGTCTGGAACTGCCCGTTCGGGGATACTCTTCGCCAAAGTTTGGACGCTGTGCTCGTTGAGGCTGCGTTGGAGGCTGGCCCCTCGGACCCGCTCTACAACTGCCATTGGCTCCCTGTGCCCGTTATAGAGAACCCGTCCCACGCCGCCGGGGTCGTGGAGTACCTGGACCGTGGGGGCCCTATTGACCAGTTTGTTTGGGACACCCCAGGGGTCGAAGTTTCGATTGATGGGTCCGTGGTCCACCCCACCACCCCCCTCCGCAGCAGAGGAGGATGGTGTGCGGTCGAAGTCACCCTAAATGGGGATCTCCGCAGGGCTTTCCGAGGCGTCCTCCCTTCCTACGCCCCCTGTAACGCCAACATGTCTGAACATCATGCTCTGCTCCATGGTACGGCGCATTTTCATATTGACCATGACGCAGAGCCAGCCCGTGTCATTCAAGAGTGTGCAGCTGTTGCGCATGGCGCAGCAACCCCTCTTCGCTCGCGTGACGGCCGCAAACAACAAGCTGGACACTGGCGCCAAGTCTTTCTGAACACAAGCATGAGCGGCTGGACTATTCACAAGATACGTGCTCACCAGTCCTTGCTGCGCGGTGACAGGGGGTTGGAAGGGCAGACGAGGGTCCTGGGCAACCACTGGGCCGATGTTCTCGCCAAAGAGATTGCCACAAAGCAACTGAATCCTCAAGATGTGGAGCGTGTCGAGGCAGGTTATAAGCAATGGCTCGACGTGTTCCAAACTTTCGTTTTAATACTTGGGCCCTGGGGTACGTCTCGGGATGTGTTCGAAGACCTCCAGAAGATCCCCAAGGCTCCCAAAGTTTCCGCAAGAGGTCCCAGCCGTCACCGTTTCAAGTGGACCCTCAACAGATGGCAGTGCGTTGACTGCGGGAAGGCGACAACTCGCCCACACTCGTGTCGCCGTGGGCCCTGCACCCCGCTGCCGTCTTCCTTGCCAGCTGTCCTAACGCATGCAGTCCCATTGGAGCCCGCCCACGACCTGTGGGCAGGACGTTTGGAGTCTGCGAGCACGGCAACCTTTTTCTGTAACCGTTGTGGGTCGTACTCTACTGGTCGCGCGAACCACCCGGCGTGTCCATGTGCGACCCACATGGTTGCCCAGCTAAGAATGCTTCGCAATTGCAAGCTTCCAGATCCCAAAGGGGTTCGGTTCTCGAAGCCGTGGCGGGTCTCTGCAGGGCTGCTCGCCCTTCACCCGCCTTTCGGGCTCTGAGCCGTTCGTCCTCTTCACACTTCCTTCCACCCCTATTCGGGGTTGCGGACCTCGTTCTAGGATTGGATGTCAATTTCATCTGCCTTGTATGTGTGTAGGGGGAGGAGGCGGAGGAGGAGGAGGAGGAGGAGGAGGAGGAGGAGGAGGGGGAGACGGAAGAGGAGGAGGAGTATGTAGAAAGGTGAGGGAAGGAGGAGGAAGATGAGGAGGAGGAGAAGGAGGAAAAGGAGGAGGAAACAGAAGAAGACGAGGAGGATGATGATGAGGATGAGGAGACGGATGAGGATGAAGGAGAAGGAGGAGGAAAAGGAGGAGGAGGAGGGAGAAGAAGGATGATGAGGAGGAGGGAGAATGAGGAGGGAAGGAGGAGGAGGCGGATGAGGAGGAGGAGGAGAAGGAGGAGGAGAAGGAGGAGGAGGCGGAGAGGGCGGAAGAGGAGGGAAAAGGAGGAGGGAAGGGGAAGGAGGATGATGATGAGGTGGAGGAGGAAGATGATGAGGAGGAGGAGGTTGAGGAGAAGCAGTAGGAGGAGAAGGAGGAGGATGAGGAGGGAGACTGAGGAGGAAAGGAGGAGGCAGATGCGGAGGAGGAAGAGAAGGGGTATGAGGAGGCTGAGGATGAGGAGGAGGAGAAGGAAGAGGAGGAGGGAGAAAGAGGAGGGACGGAGAAGGAGGAGGAGGAGGGGGGTTAGGAGGAGGAGGAGGAGGAGGAGGAGGAGGAGGAGGAGGAGGAGGAGGAGAGGAGGAGAGGAGGGAAGGAGGAGGATGAGGAGGAAAATGAGGCGGATGAGGAGGATGATGAGGAAGAGGAGGCGGAGGAGGAGGAGGAGGCTGAGACGGCGAAGGAGGAGGAGGAGGAGAAGGAGGATGAGGGGGAGAACGATGAGAAGGAGGAGTAGGGAAACGGAGGAGGGAAGGAGGAGGAAGAGGAGGACGAGGAGGATGAATCAGAAGAAGAAGACGAGAAAGAGGAGAAGGATGAGGAGAAGGAAGAAGAGGAGGATGAGGAGGATACGGAGGAGGATGTCGATGAGGATGAGGAGGAGGAAGGAGAAGGAGGATGAGGAGGAGGAGGAGGGAGAAGGAGAGGGAAGGAGGAGGAAGAGGAAAGGAGGAGGAGGGAGGAAGAGGAGGAGGAGGAGGCGGAGGGAAGGAAGGAAGAGGAGGAGGCGGAGGAGGAGGACGAGGAAGAGGAGGAAGGAGGAAGGAGGAGGAAGAGGCGGATGATGAGGAGGGGAGGAGGAAGACGGAGGAGGATGAGGAGAAGGAGGAGAACGAGGAGGAGAAGGATGAGGAGGGAGGAGGCAGACGGAGGAGGAAGGAGAAGGACGAGGATGAGGAGGATAAGGAGCAGAGGAGCGGAGGGAGGAAAATGATGATTGATTATGAGGATGAGGCGAGAAGGAGAAGGAGGGGAGGGTGGAAGGGAGACGAGGGAGGAGGGACGTAGTAGTAGTAGTAGTAGAGTAGTAGTACAGTAGTAGTATAGTATAGTAAGTAGTAGTGAGTAGTAGTCGTAGTAGTAGTAGTAGTAGTAGTAGTATAGTATTAGTAATAGTAAACAGTAGTAAGTAGTAGTTGTAGTGTGTAGTAGTAAGTAGTAGTAGTAGTAGTAGTAGTAGTCAGTGTAGTAGTAGTAGTCGTAGTAGTAGCAGTAGCAGTTAACAGTAGCAGTAGCAGTAGTAGTAGTAGTAGTAGTAGTAGTAGTAGGAGGAGGAGGAGGAGGAGAAGGAGGAGGAGGAGGATGAACAAAAAAGATGATGATGATGAGGAGGGAGACGGAGGAGGGGAGGCGGAATAAGAGGATAACGATGAGGAGGAGGACGGAAAAAGGAGGAGGAGGTGGAGGACGAGGATGAAGAGGATGAGGATGAGGAGGAGGAGGAGGAGAAGGAAGACCACGAGGACGAGGAAGCGGAGGAGGACGACGAGGAGGGAGACGGAGGAGGGACGGAGAAGGAAAAGGAGGATGAGCAGGAGCAGGAGGAGGAGGAAGACGGAAGAGAGGAGGAGGAGGGGGAAAACGAGACGGAGGAGGAGGGAGACGGAGGAGGAGGCGGAGGAGGAAGAGGGGGAGGAGGAGGAGGCGGAGGAAGAGGAGGATGAGGAGGGAGAAGAATGAGGGGCGGAGGACGATGCTGATGAGGAGTAGGAGGAGAGGAGGAGGAAAAGGAGGAGGAGGAAGTGGGGAAGGACGAGGAGGAGGAGGAGGAGGGCGCAGTATGAAGGAAACAGGAGGAGGAGGAGAAGGAGGAGGGAGAATGACAATCGAAGGAGGAGGAAGAGGAGGAGGAGGAGGAGGAGGGAGAAGGAGGAGGAGGAGGAAGATGAGGATACTAAGAAGGAGGAGGAGGAAGGATGAGGCCGGAAGAAGGAGGAGGAGGGAGAAGGAGGAGAGAACGAAGAGGATGAGGAGGTGGAGGAGGAGAATGAGGAGGAGGGGCAGGAGGGCGAAGGAGGAGGGAAGGAGGAGGAAGAGGATGGGGGAGGAGGGAAAAGGAGGAGGAGGACGAGGAGGAAAGGGAAAAGGAGGATGAGGAGGAACAGGAGGAGGAGGAGGAGGAGGAAGGAGGAGGAGGAGGAGGAGGAGGGAGAAATATGAGGGAAGGAGGAGGAGGAAGAAAAGAAGGAGGAGGCGTAGGAGGAGTAGGAGGAGGAGGACGAGGAGGAGGAGGAGGATGAGGATGAAGCGGAGGAGGAGGAGGATGAAGAAGGAGGGAAAGAGGAGGGAAAGAAAGGAACACAAGGAGGAGGATGAGGGAGAAGGAGGAGGAGGAGGAGGAAGAGGAGGATGAGGATGAGGATGACGATGTGATGATGATGATGACGAGGATGGATGGATGGACCCGGCATTGCGCTGTGAGTCTGAAGACACTCACCCCTCGAGCTCACGAAACGAGAGATCGCTCGGGGACACCTCTGAACAGTCGTGCGATCTCCTCGGACCGAACGAGGTCAGGCGCGTGGGCGCGCCGTGCAGCTGTGATCACCATGGATCCGAGCCGAGCAGGACAGGAAACCGTAAAACGCACGCGGGCGGGGGGTGATACCCCTCTGGCCCCTGGGGGCCGAGCTCGACGGCGCGGAGAGCACCGAGCAGGCCCCCTGGACACCCCAGAGGCCCCGAGAAGGAAAAAAGAAACCAGGCCGAAGAAGGGGCCGACGGCGCGCCCTAGAGACCAGGGGCGGCGAGAGCGACTAGAGGGGCCTGGTGCTACAGCGAAGCTGCTGGACTCACGTCGTCACGTAGGTCGCCCATCTCTTTCCGTAGGGTCCGCCGCCCGTGTCAGCCCTTCTGGCCGTAGTGGATCTGGCGGTTCTTGTCTGGCATTTTCTGGGCCATCGATTCCAGGTGGCCCGTCCCCATCTTCTGGCGGCCGCCCATAGCGTCGAGACAAATCTCCCGAGGGCCGTCTGGGTTGACGCTCTTCCGTGTGACCTGGTCCGCACTAGCGAACTGCATCCGGGTGTACTGGTCGTTGTGGCGCGTGCGCAGCCTGAGGTGGAGAAGAGCTCCGAGCCCGTCTCCGTGCAAACGAACTGCTGGTGGAAGGTGCGCGGGAGCCCGTGCCCCTGCGGGGCCTCCTGCACCACGAAGGCCGACGGGTACTTGAACTCGGCGTGGGCGAGGTACACATGTGGTGAGTTGGGGCTTCGCCTCGGGGGACTGCGCCGCCTCTGCGTACATCTTGCCCGCTTCCCGAGCTGCGACGATCGTAGTGGCCGTGGGCGTGGTAACGATGCTGATCCATTCCGAGTCCGCTAGGTCCCTGAGCAACGGGGCGTGCAGGCGCACCATCTTGGGGAGGAACGTGACCGCCTGCTGCAGGTCGCGCGTCTTCAGGGCCAGGGCGCCCTCCCGACGAAGCATGATCGCGTCGTAGTCCCAAGTGTGCAGCGCGTGGGCCTTGAAGATGTCGCCCGCGTAGAAGGAGCGGTGGTCTCGATCGTGCAATATGTTGAGGCGGTGACCTGCTCCCATGGGGGCCATGGCGGACGGGGCGTAGAAGAAGTCGATCCTGCGAGATTGTCCGTGCGTCCCTATGGAGGTGTCCCCGCTGACAAAGAAGGTGTCGTGGTCCGAGAGGAACCGTTGCCAAAGACGTCCAGAGGGGCCCTCCAGCTCCAGGAAGGTGCCCACGGCGCTGTCGACCTCGCCCCGCAAGTCGGGCACGAGCAGGGACGAGGAGCCGAGAAACGTCTCGTCCACGGAGTCGCCGAGCTGAGGTCCGCCCCGCTGAAGGGCGTGCGACGACTGCCCACAGGCCCCATCATGGTCATAGCCTGGGTCACCTGGTGGTATGAGTAGGACTCGGATGGCACGGAGAGGTGCCGAACCATGAGGAGCACGTCCGAGGAGCGGCACTGTCGCGCCGCAGGGACCCGAGAGCGCCGCGGGCGGAGGGTAGATCAGACGTAGGTGTGCCTGCCGAAGCCGCTGATGTAGGAAGACGCCCCCCCCCGAAGCTCTTGTTGGTCCAGCCGAAGGAGAGCTCCCAGTGGTAGTCGTGCTGAAAGAGGCGGTGGCGGCCGTCCAGAGTCGGGCGGCGGCTCATCACGGGGAAGAGGATCTCGCCCATGTAGTGTTCGCGGGTGATCTCCTGCGCGCGGGTGCTGCCCGTCAGGTAGAAAGGGATGTACTCGTAGAGCCTGGTGTGCGGAGCAGGTGGCGGCTCTTGCTCCTGAGTGCGTCCGAGGGCGCGGCAAGCGCCTGTCGACGATCGGGCGGCCGCCCGCGGCGAGAAGCCGACGGCCGCGAGCAGGAGGAGAGCCGCCATCATGGGCCTCTGGGGCCCCGCGGGCGAGTGGGCATCGCGCGCTGCTCCCCTGGCGGGCGATGAACAGGGTAGGAGGGCCGCGTGTCCCGCGCCCTTCAGCCGTGGCGGCGGCTTGATGACGAGGAGGAGGAGGATGAGGAGGAGGAGGAGGAGGAGAAGGTGGAGGAGGAGAAGAGAGAAGGAGGATGGAAGGAGTAGGAGGAGGTTGGAGGAGGTAGGAGGAGGAGGAGGAAGGGGGGAGGAATGAGGTAGAGGAGGAGGATGAGGCGGAAGAGGACGGAGGAGGAGGAGGAGGATGAGGAGTAGGAGGAGGAGGAGGAGGAGGGAAGGAGAAAGAGGAGGAGAAGGGGAGGAGAAGGAGGAGAGAGGAGGAGAGAAGGAGGAGGAGGGAGAAGAAGGAGAGGAGGAAGAAAAAGGGAAGGACGGATGAGGAGGACGGATGTGAGGATGAGTGAGAGGATGATTGATGATGATGATGATGATGATGACGACGATGATGACGACGATGATGATGATGATGAATGAATGATGATGATGATTATGATGATGATAAGGAGGAGGAGGAGGAGGAGGAGGAGGAGAAGGTGGAGGAGGAGAAGAGAGAGGGAGGATGGAAGGAGGAGAGGAGCAGGAGGAGGAGGAGGAGGAGAAGGAGGAGGGACCAGGAGGAGGAGGAGGAGGAGGAGGCAGGAGGAGGAGGAGGGAAGGAAGGAGGAGGAGGAGGAGGAGGAGGAGGAGGAAGAGGAGTTGAGGAGGAGGAGGAAGAGAGAGGAGGAGAGGAGGAGGAGGAGGAGGAGGAGGAGAGGAGGAGAGGGAGGAGGAGGAGGGAAGGAGGGGAGGAGGAGGAGGACCAGAGGAGGAGGAGGAGGAGGAGGAGGAGGAGGAGGAGGAGGAGGAGGAGGAGGAGGGAAGGAGGAGGAGGAGGAGGTGGAGGAGGTGGAGGAGGGAGGGGCACCCACGCCCCAAGAAACCTCCGAATGCGCCGCAGGACTGCCCAAGCGGCCCCCAGGAGGGCCCCGAGAGGGCCTCGAGACGGGCCAAGAAGCCCCCGCCCGAGAGGCCCCAAGAGGGGGACCACGAAGGGACGAAGGGACATTCCGAGCCTTCCGCCCCAGGACGGTCTCAAGAGCCCCTCAGGGGGAAGTCCAGCCTGTCTACAGGAGGGATATCAAAAAATAGTTAACAAACAAATGTGGGACGACTTTGTGAGCATTTTATCTTAGGGCTTTTTTTTGTTTACTATTTTCAATTTTTCATGTAAAATTGGCCTGTAGGGGGACAGGCCCGACTTAACCTCAGAGGCTCCCGAGGCTCCCCCAGGACGCCCCTACTCAGGAAGCCCCCCAAAACACCTCCCGGGGCCGAAAGCCACTGGACTGGCCACGGCGCCTCTGGGCATGGAATGGGCGTGTCCTCGGGTTCTTTGCCCACTCCTCTGAGCCTCAGTCCTCGGTCCTGAAGAGTCAACGAGGGGCCCGGAGCCCAAATTCTCAAATCTCCTGGGCTCTCCCGCGCGCCCCCTGGGGTTCGCGGCGTCTTGTCGCGTGAAATTTGTCGTGCCCCAGAGGGCCCCAAGGCGGGCCAAGATGGCTGCAAAAGGCTTCCAAGACGGTCCAATAGGGCCCTGAGACGCCGAAAGATCAACCCGGCCTAAGAGGGCCTCAAGACGGCCAAAGAGCCGCCCAATCCGAGCCAAGAGGGCCCCAAGACGGCCCCCAAAGGGGCCCCAGAGTGGGACCAGGAATCGAAAATCTAGCGTTCCGCGCCAAGAGGGCCCCAAGAGGCCCCGTAGAATCCCCATGACGCCCCCAACAAGCCCAAAAGAGGCCCCAACAGGCCCCCCAACGGCCCCCAAGAGGCGTCCACACTGCCTCCAAGAGGCCCCCGAGAAGCCTCCCACGAGATCCCACCGAACATCAAATAGACTTCATACCCACGACCCAGGCACGGTGGCGGGATGGGCCGAAGGCCATGAGATCCGCCGCCCCCTTTTGATTTATCAAAGGGGTGCCTGGCGTGTTAAACCCTCTCGGTTTTGGTTTTGGTCCTTTTCCAAAAGAGCTCCCCCTGGGGCTTCGGCCCGTCCCGCCGGCCACCCGGAAGGATCTTCCAGAGGTGGTTGCAAAGAGTTGTTCCGTTTCATACGGCTCCAAGATGACCTAAGATGGCCTCCAAGACGGCTACGATAGCCCCAAGATGCCTCCAAAATGGCCCAATATGCACCCAAGACGGCCTAAGATGGCCTCAAGATGGCCCACAACGGCCCAAGAGGCTCCCAAGAGGCCTCCAAGACGGCCCAAGAGGCCTCCAAGAGGTCCTCCAGGAAGGCCCGAAGAGGCAACAATTATTGATGTTCCTTAGGTTTTTGCAAGATTTTGGCATTTGCGCCTTTTCGGCTTTCCGACGGCCCAAGACGGCCCAAGAGGTCCCCAAGATCGCCCAAGAGGCCCCCCAAAGGGCCCCATGACGGCCCAAGTGGCGTCCAAGACGGCCCCAAGAGGGCCCCAAGAGGGCCCCAAGACGGCCCAAGAGGCCTCCAACACGCCCAAGATGGCCTCCAAGACGGCCCCGAAGCGCCCCAAGAGGGCCCCAAGTCGGCCCAGAAAGGCCCCCAAGACGGCCCCCGACGGCGTCAGACGTGCCAGGAACCCACCGAGATGGCCGAAATTGGCTCGAAGCTGGCCCAAGAGGCCCCCAAGAGGGCCAGGCCTCCAGGAAGGCCAGAAGAGGCCCAAAACATTGATTTTCCTATGGTTTTTGACAGATTTCGACATTTGCTTCTTTTCGGCCTTCCGACGGCCCGAGACGGCCCAAGAGCCCCCGAAGATCGCCGAAAAATCGCCCAAGAGGCCTCCAAGATGGCCCCAGAACGGCCCAAGAGGGCCCCAAGAGGCCCCCAAGATGGCACAAGAGGCCTTTGAGACGCCCAAGATGGGCCCCCAAAGCGGCCCTGGAGCATTCCAAGAGTGCCCCAAGTCGGCCCATAGAGGCCCCCCAAACGGCTTCCGACGGTTCAGACAGACCAGGAGCCCACCAAAACCGCCGAACATGGCCCTAAGATGGCGCACGACGGCCCAAGAGGCCTCCAAGAGGGCCTCCAGGAAGGCCAGAAAAAATGCCCAAATCAATAATTTCACGTGGGTTTTTGAAGGATTGTGGCATTTGTTTTTTTTTCTGCCTTCCGGCGGCCCGCGACGGCCCAAGTGCCCCCAAAGACCGCCCGGGAGGCCCAAGACACGGCCCCAAGAGGCCCCCAAGACGGCCCAAGAGGTCTCCAAGACGCTCAAGATGGCCTCCAAGACGGCCCAAGAGCCCTCCAAGACGTCCTCCAAGAAGACCCGAAAAAGGGTCAAAATGGCATCCAGACGGCCAAGATGACCTTCAAGATGCCCACGTGTTCCCCGAAGCTTTTCCAAACCGATTCGGGGAACACATGGTCCGATAGCTTGGCAGGTCTGGCCTCAACGTTCGGCCACGTAGGCGCTTCCACAAAGGCAGGGGGCGGCGGTGATTCGCCGTAGGCAAGGGGCGGCGGTGATTGTGGAGAGTCGGAAAGCCGAAAAGACAAGAAGGCCAAGATCCTCCAATTCCTACGTAAAATGAGCGATGTTGGCCTGTTGGGACCGTCTTGGGGGTGCTCCTGGAGGCGTCTTGAGCCATGTTTGAAGCCTCTTGGGAACTACCTGGGGCCTCCTGGGGCTCTCTTGAGGCGGGAACCCTGGGTTTTACGGACGCGGTCCGTCTCTTGGACACCTCTCGAGCCTGTTTTGGGGCACTCGTGGGCTGCCCTGGGCGTTCTTGGGCCAACCTTGGGCTCTCCGGGACCGCCTCGGGGCGGCCTTGGGCGCTTCTGGAGCTGTTTGGGGGCGGTCTCGGAGGCCTCCTGGGCTGTCTAAGAGCATTGGACAGCCGCAAAGATCGGAAGGCCAAAACCCTTCCAACACTATTGTAAACACATAAATTTTTGGCCTGATGGGGCCCTCGTGGGAGTGCTCTTGGAAGTGTTTGGAGCCATGTTTGGGGACTCTTGGGGCGTGTGGGTCACTGTACAACCAGAAGCGCACTTCACAACCAGATGGGTCACTTTGCAGCCAGCTTACAAAATCCGAGAAGGGCACTTTACAACCAGGAAGGGCACTTCACAACCAGGCAAGTAAAAACACATATTGAATGCACGCGGGCCTTTCCCTGAAATCTCCGTGGGCAAGCGCAAGGGTGGCTTTGGGCTCTTTGATGCATGTTGGTTGTGAAGTTGCCCATCGCGCACGAAGAAGCACTGCGCACGCGTTGGCGATGCGGCGACCTGGTGCGCTATGGTATGTTGCGTGCTGGTGGGCGGATTAGGGTTTTGACCTGCTCTCTAAGCTCTGTCGGTCAGTTCTGCCATTGCTTGCTCTGCCTTTTTCTGACGGACGAAGGCTAGTCGCGCAGGACATACGAATAAACCATGATCCCGTCCAAGACTGGAGCTGCATGGCAGCGGGAAGCTGTAGTGGGAGATGTGGTGGTAGCGGG